TGTAAAACATTTAATTTAATAATTTTTAAAAATTTTTATAAAAATTTTTCGTTTTTAACTTTAAATTAACCATAATTGGTTCTTAAATAATATTTTTGAAAACCCCTTATGATAAACATTTTTTTAATTGTTTTATTATGTTGTACCAGTGAAGAAAACACTAGAACTCGTTATCATCCACTAAATAATCATGTAAATGTAGAAGGTGGTAATGTGAATACTACAGCCAATTCATTTTTAATTTTACATAATAAAATCAATGAATTTAAAATTTATATTGAATGTGCAGTATATAGATCAAATTTGTATAAATTCCTTAAAAGTGAGAAAAAAATCATAATACATGCAATTTCAATCATTAAAAATGAAGAGAACAAAACTGGTTCAATATTTTATGATAAAAATCAAGAATATGTTTTAAAACAATTGTTTTTTTGTGGTATAAGGTTTAAAAAATTAAAAGAGTACAATAAGTTTTTAAATTACATGTTTACTTTTTTTAGAATTGTTTTTAGATTAAAAAATTCTTATTATTTGAGTTTTTTTATTGGTTATGATAGAAAAAATATTGTGAGAGATGAAATGTTAAAACATTTGAATCAAGTGTATGAAATTTGTCTTAGGCGTAATTTTATTGTTAATTTAAATTTAATTAACACGAGAAATAGAAATTTAAATTCATATGAATTACGAAAAAATATTGTTAAATTTCAACAAGAGCTTATTAATTTTATTAATATAAAATTATATGAACAATTTGTTTATTTTAATCTATATCGAAATGAATGTATTTATGAAGGTTTAAAACACTTTAACTTTAATGTTATGTATTTTATTAATTCATTTTGATAATAAAAAGATTTAAAACACTAATTTTTATAAATTTTATACTATTAAGCTTATTTTGTCATCAAAGAATTTGATAATTTGTAACTTATTTATTCTTTAAAAAATTTCTACACATAAGTTTTATAAATAAATTATATTTAATATAAAATTTTATTTTAATGAGAACGAACAGTAAAAATGAAAAAGTAAATATTGATATGGTGATAAAAGTGTATTTAAAAGATAGTATTAAATTATATTCACCAAATTAATTTTAAGATAATTTAAATATAAATTTAGTATAAAAATTTTTTATATTTAGTAAATTTATTTAATTGTACAAAGATAAGTTAAATAATTTTTATAAGTTTTGTTATAAAAACAGA